GACTGAAGGGGATGGCGTGTTGTGTCAGATACATTTTATTCAAAAAGCAAATATCTGATGTAATCTTTTATGGATGAAAAAAAATCCTAATGAAATACGGTAACCGTGATGCGTCGAGAGATCAAGTCATGAGACTAGTGACGTTTCACACCTCTAACATATACGAGACCTGAGAATCCAACATTTATTCACCCCGTAACGCTCCTGTGACAACATATCTATCCAGCTGCTGTGGAAGCTCTTCCCCACCGAGCTACGGTGTTTTACGGTAAAAGCGTTTGTCCAACAGTCTGTTATTGATACGGATAGGAAACTCATTCAACAGCATTTTGATTACAAAGCTAATCATAAGACAGCAGCTACAACAGGTTAGATGAGTTTTCTGTTTCATATTTTTATTAAAGTATACAAAATTACAAGAAAGAATATACATTTGTTTTTGTCGTGAACATATACAGCCTTGTTTTTACATTTTGTCATAAAGGATACGAGAAATAAGAGGAAAAAGAGAAAAATTATATAAAAAAGGAAAATAGAAGATAAATAAAATAGATATATAATCGCAAAAAGTATATATATTAAAAAAAACAAAATAGAGTCCCTTATAAGCCTGACAAAATGTTTTAATAAATTGAATTAAAAACTTTGGGCATATCTCCATACCAAATCTTACTACATATACAACGTGGTCGGTAACTGCACAGCGAAGTTGGGACATAGAAACAGAACATTAATGAAATAAATTGGTAATTAAGTCAAATAGAAATGGAGAGAAAGAGAGCGAGTCAAGGAAAAGAGGGGTATCAGGAGGAAGTTGGAGGGGGGGGGGGGTCAAATGATGTCGAAAAAAATCAACGAATGGCTGCCGTTTTCTGTAAAATTTGTTCAGACTGCTTTCTAGAATACTGTATTTTTTCGACTTTTAAGGTTAGATGAGTTTTAAACCTTTTCAATGTCACTAATCAGAACAACTACATCCCAGAATGAACGAATTCTTAACCCTGAATGACGAGCTCTCTGCCTGTGACATTTATGCGTCAATAGTATTTGCAGCATAAACAACTGACGTGAGAAGATGTAGTAAATAACTTTTACACACAAACCCCAAAATGGCTGCTATTATATCTTTATTATTCATCTTTTCTGTCCAAAATATGACGACGACACATTTTTAACCAGATTTAATAACTCTTGAGATTTTATGTTCATGTTTTTTTGAGGATCGAGTCGTCGACCGGACAGAAGGACAATCAGGCTCGTGGGAAATCTTTCAGGTTATTTTACCGAATAAGAAAAGCCTCTCTAATGTTTTTGTTGTTCAAACTCTGGTTTGATTTAGTTCTCTCAGGGATGAATGAGGTGCTATTCCACAACGACGACACAGAACAGTCAAAACAGTGATTAGGGTCCAGAGCAGGTGTGATTTCTGGATTCAAACAGGTAATTACAGCAACAACACACCAGCTAATGAGCTAATCTGTGTGAACTACAAATACCAGTTATTAGATGTTTACTTTAAAGCTACAGACTGTTTTTCCATTCAGAACAGGTTGATGAGAAGTGACTTTGGCCGTCACTGTTGCTTAAGTGGTTGAATTTATTTGTAAACCATTTTCTTGAGCCAGTATGTGCTAAAATGACCCTTTACAGGGTTAGTGCAAGGCCACCCAGCCCTCATCGCCCCCTGTACCCAGAGTCTTCCACTTGCGGCTTCAGCCGGAGGGACCGTTCTGTTGGGAGATGACATACCTGGCGCTGCAGTCTAGTTCCAGCACTAAAGAAGGCTGAGGAGACGTTTCAGTTTTCAGATTAGGGTGTTAAAAATACGAATGCACAGCGAGGAAGTAGGTTTTGCTTTTGCTTCTACAAACAGACACTAGGGGGTGCTCAAAGCAAGCCAAAACCGCCTAGTTTACCTTTAAAATGCTTTCTAGGGTTAAAAGTAATTTAAAAGTGTCTTTATACCCTTTGCAAAATCATAAGTGTCGCATTAGATTATGGACAAGGACTCATTCCATCGTGTGTCGCATCAAGTTCAAATATCTGAGACAGAAACATATTTTGGACTATGATGCTGTGGAAAAGTAGAAGCTCAGGGAAATGTGGCGTCCCTGCTGTCATCAGTATGGCTGCGCTTGTCTCCTGGACAAACAAGTACGATAGTCCTGCACCGAGCCTGACCTCCATGCTGGCAAAATCGTTAGGTTTGGACATCAAAGAGACACCATAGTCCAGGGGTCACCAACCTTTGGGAAGCTGAGAGCTACTTCACAGGTTTTGAGCCATCCAAAAAGCCAACAGTATGATGCACAATGTTTTTTACAGACACAGTACCGACCTTTGAACCTGAATACATCAGAGCTAAACTCAACTTCATGCATAATAAACATATTTTAATAAATATATATTTTTTACAATATCGTCATTTTAAAAATCCATCTCAATGCAACTGATTTTATATTTCCTCAGGGATAACTTGAACTAACTTTACAACAGGCCTGCAGGCAGCAGACTGGTGACCCCTAACAGTTGATAAGTTGCTCCATTGTTCATGCTCAATAATCCAGCTGGAGGATCCTGGCCAATCAGTGAGCCGGGTTTTCTTCTTGTTCTGTTCTTTCACCGTCAGTTGCCGCCACACTTTGGACCAGTTGAAAGCAAGAGACGGAGTAAGGCCTCATTTTCACTGACCTTTTTGGCATGGATCGGGGAGGGTCAGCTCGCCCATTTTTCTGTCCCCATTGCAAAACTGGTCAAGACAACTGACCCGGACTGTGTCAGTCACAGGACTTTTTTGGCCCCCTTCTGTTGTAGGTCCAGAAATCTGGAGCGGTCACAGTCCACTGACTGAGGGACAGAAAAACGTCACTACTTGCAACAAAGCTAAATCTGAAATGCTCTCCTAAAATTGCAGACCCATACCAGAACACACGGGTCCACAAAGCCCGCTGCGCTCCGAACCCTACAGATGGATCTGACTGAGGCTAAAAGATCCAAGCCAAAAAACAAGAAGTTGCAGTATTTTCATTCAGCTGTTTCCATTATACATCTTGCCATTAGGTTCTGTCTTCACCAAACATATCACCTTCCACTGCTTTGCAGATGATCTTCAGGTCTATCTTCCTCTCATCCCCACTTCTGTTGCCTCCTTAATGGACTGCTTAACGGATGTGAAACAGAGGATGGCCATCAATTTTATGATATTGAACAAAATCAACACTGAGATTTTAGTCTTCGGCAGACAAGACCTTGTGGTTGGAGCTGTGAGTCCTCTTGGTCCCTTATCTACATTCGTGAAGCCCGACATAAAAACCTTGGTTCTCTATTGATGGTTCCTTTAAATTTGATGGACAGGTGAGTGCAGTGGTCCAGTCTGGCTTCTATCACTTAAGGCAACTGGCAAGGGTTAAAAATATCTACCAGCAACCATTTTGGACCAAGTAATCCATATGTTTAGCTCTTGTCAGCTGGACTACTACAACTCCCTCTGTTATGGCTCAGAACATTCCACCGATCGTCTGTAGTTGGTCCAAAATGCAGCAGCTCGTTTGCCAACAGGCACAAGGAAGCATGACCATATAACTCTGGTGCTTGCTTCCCTTCACTGGCTTCCCGTTCAGTTTAGGATTCGATTTAAACTACTGCTTTTAGTTATTAAATCTCCCTCTGGCCTTGCTCCACCCTATTAATGATTTACTCACCTACACTCCCGCCAGGAGTCTGAGGTCCTGTTCTCAGTTACTATTAGTGTTCCCGTGGGGTTAGAGCCTTTTCAGTGGCTGGCCCTAGAGCTGGGGATCCCTCAAAGCATGGAGCAGTTTAAGTCAAAACTAAAAACTTGTTTGACTTGGCTTTTAGGACTAGTTGAGTTGTGTATCTATTCTCTTTTATCTGGTTTGTCGTCATTTTTATTGTTCACATCTTGTCTTATTTTAAACTTGTCTCTCATTGTTTACTCTCATCCTTTTATTCATGGTTTTTATGGGTTGGTGAGCAACAGCAGATTGTAGGTGCTTTATAAATAAAGTTGACCTTGACCTTGCAGTAGTCCAATCTGCCACTAGCAAACATATGGATAACTTGCTCAACAGCATTTGCAGTAAGGTAAAGTTCTACAGTTGCTAGTTGTCTAAGATGATGCACCCCCAGCAGGTCCCTGAGGTCCAGTGACCAAAGCCTACTGGTTGTGCAGCTCCAGGCTAAAGACCAAAGGTGACAGATCATCTACTGCTGTGTCCCCCAGACTCTGGACCTCTCCCCCCCTCAGCCTGAGATCAGTGGACTCAGTGGTCTCCTTTAAACTCACCTGTTCAGGTTTGGTGGGACCTTCTACTGATTCTTCATCACTACCTTCTGTTCATGCCGAGTTTCTATGTCCTGGGATCCTTTTCCTATTTGTTTTTTTTTTCCTTAAAAAATTTTTCAATTCTTCCATTTTTTATTAATATATATATATATATTATTTGTACTTGTGAAGCGCCAGCTGATTCTTATCTTGAGAGGTGCCGTTTCCTCCTCTTTTGTCCAGTTTAGATAGTTTAACAGATCCGTCAATGATGGACACTGGAGATGTGTGGAAAGACAAGATTTTTTTGGGCCATCCGCTGTTTGACGCCCCTCAAACCAAACCTAGGTGTTCTGCACTCCCCGCCCACCTGAACCGTTTCCACTGGACTAACAATCTAGAAGCACCCTAAAAACAGAAACACGCCACATCGAGCCGTTATCTCAGTATTTCAAGCAGCTGCTTCCAGCAGAAATACTCCATCGTTACGATTTAAAAGTGAAACTCCACACGATTAAAGAAAAGCAAAAGAGATTAAACTCAGCACGTCTTATCCCAAATCTAACAAAAAAAAGACAGTCACATCTTAGATTCTCATGCTGTTAAGTTGCTGAAAACAACAAGTCTGATGATCAGAGCACCTGCTCAGAACACACACACACACTTAACCAGTTTGTGCCTGAATCACGGCTGACGTTTTGCAGTTCCTACGTACCCAGAACATGAAGTTGAAGACAAACATGGCATACTTGAGGCATTCCATTCCCTTCATGGCTGTAGGATCAGGATTTAAGTCCTTCAGAAGAAAACGTTTGGCTCAGTGAGGAAAAGAAAAGAACGAAACAGGAAGAGCTGGCTGCAGGCTGGTTTTCCTTTGCATGTGTGTGAGCCACACCCTTTGTTCCTCACCTGTCTGCAGGCAGTAAGGTAAGGGGGAGGAGCCGTGAGGGAGGAGCCAGTAGATGTTTGCTTCAGTGGTTTTCAAACACAAACCTTGCACAGCAGGCACAACCAATTAGCTGTACAGATGAGCCCAAAAGCAGCTGGATTTTGACATTTATTCAGAAAAATACAGAAAAAACACTGAATGATAAATGACCCACACGTGTAAATCATCTTTCAGAGTCAGAGGACTCCAAAGCGCTTTACACTAGAGATCATCGTTTCTACATGAGCCGACCCAGGAAAACGTTGTATACAGACAAAATAAAAAATATATCTTTTATTCTGTGCTGAACCATTATGATACTTATCTTGATATAGTTTCATATTAATGTTCCAGTTTTAAGCGAGGATCTGTTTTAAAAAATCTGCCTACAACCTCTGATTTTATTGAATTGTTTCTCTCTTCGTTTTTTTTTTCTTGTTTGGGTTTTATTATTGTTTTATTGTATTTTATTAAGTGTTTTCTGTCAAGTGACCTTGGGTGTTCTGAAAGGCACTTTTAAATAAAATGTATTATTATTATAAAAAAACTAACTGTCCTCGCTGTCCAGCACATGTTCGGGTCCTATAGATTCATTTTGATCCTTGTTGAGTTTCTCCATCTTTACTGCGTCTGAAACACGTCTGTTATGACATTGTAAAATGATTTTCCTCCGAAAAAGAGCTTAAAAGTAATTCCACAATCAAAAATCCCAAATTTCATGATTATTGATCGTTTAAACAAAAAGAGTTTAAAGTTCAACGTAGCCTTAAACAACGGCCTTGTTCGAGTTGAGCAGCGCCTCACCTGGAAAGCAGACGAGAGCAGACGGATGCAGCAGGGGGAGTGGCTAAAAGCCGGCGTCTAATGGGCTCGACACACGGGAGGCGACATTGCCTCTCCTCCATTCATTTTCAATGAGACATGTGCGACAAAGCGATAATCGCGGGTCTCCCTCCTACTAAGCGAAACGCGAAAAACGTGCGTGTGAAATTTAGAGCTCGTGCACGTGTCGTGCACAGGCGACCCAGCGACGCGATCCCAGAAAGTTGAAATATTTTCAACTTTTCATCGCTGTCGCTCGGACGAGGACCAATCAACGGAGGTTTCATTCACTAACCAGTGAGCGGACAGGATGCTCCGTACATCTCCGAGCAAACATGGAGGAGAAGTTGATTATTATTATGTTTTATAGTAAAATCACAAGTTAGATTTCACATAACTCTAGCAGCACCGTGTGAAACATCATATCTACCGCTTTTTTAACTCTGAACCGCTTAAATAACCTTAATTCCCTCCAACCTGACACAGCCAATCAAAACAACGGAAGTTTCGATTTCGCCATGAAACAGAACGTGTAGACGGCTTTGCCGCTGGCCGCTGGCGCGGGTCGCCTCCCGTGTGTCAGGTAATAAAAGCGACAGCGACAAATTTCGCTGATCGCGGTCGTTTGTCGCCTCCCGTGTGTCGAGCCCTTAAGTCGGACACAATTCCCTACATGTGTAGCTGGCGGGTGATGACGGATGTTTAATTTTTTATTTTAATTCTGTTGCCTGTTAGCAACCGAAACACATCCTCACGTGCTTGTGGATATAATAGAATGCATATGGAGACCTGACTGTAAGAATAAGTAAAGGTTATCAGCTGTAGGTTTAGTGTGCTCATAGGAAACGTGACAAAAGAACACAAATCACATTTCTCTTTATGGCCTCTATAGTTGTCATCATCAGCATCACATGATTTACAGAATACACGTGACCAACTAACATTTCATGTTCTACCACCGGATGTTTGGATCAAAATATGAACCAATCAGATCTTAGATCAAGTGAGAGCCAGGCGTTTCCCGTCATTCCCTAGGTTTTGCAGCCGGTGGAGAGCAACTGCAGTGCCTTGCTCTAAAATCTGCGGCCACCTTGATCTCACGAGGTTATCGTTGCCTACGTATGCATGACGTCAGAGCAAGTCGGCGTCAAGTCGGACACAAATCTCACCGGCAAGCACTGCTCACCGATCACCGGTGATCTAATCTGCGCAGAACTGGCTCATCTCGAACACGGCCAACTACACACATGCACAGCCTATGTGGGCGTGTCCCTTCAGGTGTCTCAACAGCCAGTCATCTTTCTCCATTTGGTCCAGTCATCTGCATCCTCCACCCACACACCAACTAACTTCATGTCCCCTAGTTGGTCTTCCTCTCAGCCTCCTGCCTGGTGGCTCCATCCTCACCATCCTTCATCACTGTTTCTCCTCTGGACATGTCCAACCCATCTGGACATATCCTCTCTGACTTTACCTCCTAAACATCTAACCGACCGTTCCACTTGTGTCCCTCTCCTTTACACACATGTATCTGTGACCAAACTTCATCCCTCTCTTTTCCAGTAAACACCTCCACCTCTCCAGCTGTTCTTGGACCGTATAACTGCAGCCTCACCCCCACAGTAATCCAGCTGCTCCCGGGCTCATTCAGGCAGGGACTCTTATTGCTATCTATACTGTCTTGCTTGTCGCATTTTTAATCCTTTCCCAGCAAACATTTGGACGTTTAATCAACGTTGAAAAGACATCGGGCCAGCACGTCCCATCATGGTTGAAAAATAGTTCCAAAATGAAAGTTGAAACGACGTCTTTTCTGGACGTGAATTACATGTAACAATTATACCAACACATTCTCACACCCAAAGCTTCAAAATATGATGCGTGTGACCAAGCCTCAATATGTGACAATTCGGGACGCCCCAGCGCGTCAGGAGACGACGATCGGGGACGGTCAGGGACACGTGGCTCCGCTGGCGTCAGTGTTAGACGCGCGCGGTCACACGGACATTGCTCGACTATTTAACCTTCCCCTCACCCCAATCCTAACCTTAAGGTCCGTAACTGTGAACTTAAGGTTAGGATTGTGGTGAGAGGAAGGTTAAGTAGTTCACAAGTCATTCTAATGTCCGTCTCACCACCGGCGTCGGATACCATCACTCTGGGATGGTGCGTCATCAGTGTGTCCGTGATCGTCGTCTCCTGACGCGCTGGGGCATCCTGAATCATCATGTATTGAGGCTTGGTCACACGCATCATATTTTGACGCTTTGGGTGTGAGAATGTGTTGATTATACATGTAACTACAAATCTGTGTGGATTTTTAGGAAATGTTATGTTACTTTTGTTTTTTAATTTGGACCGTCCTACCGCGACCATTTTTGACCGTGGACACCACGTCGCCGCTGGACCAATATTAGCTGAGATGCTATGTTCAATTCAATTCAATTCAATTCAATTCAATTCAATTCAATTCAATTCAAAAGTACTTTATTAATCCCAGAGGGAAATTTGTTTCAGTACACACAATTCTGAGATCAGACACACATACATAGACACATGACAAGAATTGGTGACTGTGGTCATTCGCAACACGAGTCTCACTACCTTAATAGATCAAGAGGGTTTATATGAGGATGGAGTCGGGGGGAGGGGAAAAGGCACTTCAGAGTTACCCTCCACAGAGAGGGTAGCTTTGCTATGCAAAAAAACACCTCAGACAGATGTGCACACGGACTTCAGACGAAACACAACATAAGTGTCCACTAGGTGGGGAGGTAGGGTTGGGACTCTCCTCACTTCAGTGCATGCAGCCGCATGGAGCAGCGCTCATCACCTCTGTTTGGACAGGGGAGGGAGATAATGGGTTAGAGAGCACAGTGACTCCTAGATACGGTTCCACGGCCTTCACCGGTCACAGTTGCGCCCAGGCTGGTATAGGGAGAAAGAGTTTCCATAGCGACGGCAGCATTCCACATTTGTTCTGAAGGGGGAGTTTTCACTTCAGCCTCACAGGCTTCAAGGGCACCAGATTCAGATAAGAATTGTTTTGGATACAGACAGAGATAATTTCCTCTCTGCCTTAAAGTTCTGTTGGTCTTCAACCCCTCTAGATCCAATAATGGCGTAATTAATTTATCCCAATCCGTGCTGATCCGTCAACTCGCTCCTTGATGGAATCCACCTTCTGGGTCAGAGCCTGAATCTCAGCCAAAGTTCCAAGCTTACGACTCATCTTGACAATTATATGAGTTTGTGCATTCACAGCGTGATTCATTCCATCCCTGAGCTCCGGGATTGAGCCAATAATCCTCGAAAGCTCGTTAATTTTCCGGTAAGCCAGGTAACCGCTCAGGCCAAACAGCAGGAATCTCGACACCAAAACCACAAATATCCAGACATCTTTAGAATCCTCTACAGACAGTTGAGAGAGGCATATCAGGTTCCACTGTTTCCAGGAGTCCATGATATACCCAGCTGGCTCTGTCCCAGAGGGGCATCCGGTGGCCCCTTCTCATCGTTGAAAAAATTTTGTGTATTAGTGATGGGAATTGCGACTCTTTTTAGGGAGCCAGTTATTTTGGCTCAGCTCACCCAAAAAAAAGCCAGCTCTTTTGGCTCCCAAGTGGCTCCTCAGATTTTCTGTTGCGTAGAGTACATTGTACTGCTGTTGTGTGCTTGGGCAAGACACTTAACCCACCTTGCCTGCTGGTGGTGGTCGGAGGGTCCAGTGGCGCCTGTGCTCGGCAGCCTCGCCTCTCATCTCCACCAGTGTATGAATGTGTGTGTGAATGGATGAATGATACACTGTAGTGTAAAGCGCTTTGGAGTCCTTACTCTGAGAGGCGCTATACAAGTGCAGGTCATTTATCATTTAACCAAAATAATGCAAAACTATATGTAAAATGATTTACTAATGTAAAAAATGCAATATATCAAATATTTATCATTTATATGGGTTTATTAACTGAACACTTTAAGAAATCTCAACTTTCCGACTGCTGGCGCTCATTTTCTCATTGTCTTCATCGCACTCTCCTCCCTCTCTCTTGCCTTTTTCGTCCTCCTCATTCCCTCTCGTCTCCCTCCGCCTGCATGTGCTCTGCTGTGTGTCTGAGTCTGATCCTCCCTCTTCCCCGCTGCTACTGCTCTGTGTGTGGACAGTCTG